CTTAAGGCCCCTAAAGTATCGGCCATGATGCATGGTCCACAGGGAGATCTGGCTTCGCTTTACGAGCCAAAAAAGGATCCTGAACCGGACACCCTTGAACCGTAAACCCCGGGCTATTGAAGCCTAAAGTAAAAGCCAGAAAGTTGGAATATGCTTATCCTAAACCCTTTATGGTAAATTATAGGGTATCCTACCCTGAAACCATATTTCAACCCTCTGGAGTTCCCTTTAAGCCCTAAACCCTGAACCCCTGTAGAACTTCTCATAGGGCCCACAGAGGAGGAACCCTTACAGGAACCTGTAAATTCACGGAACCCTTACAGGAATGCAGGGACTCTTCTATGCAGGGACTCAGTCCGTTCCAAGTGTCCCGTTCCAGGTGAAGCATCTGAGTGGGGAACTCAAGAAAAGCTGCCGCAGGGGCTCTCCTTTTGGGAAAAAGGTTTAGGGATATCCGCTTGTCATAGCGGTTCTGTGAGCTTTTACGGGGGTTCTTGCGGAGTTCAAGGGTTGGGGGCAACTAGTACCCAGAGACCCCCATATCCCTTAATTGGGGATCCGGCTATGCTTTAAGGTATATTCCTCAATGAAGGGCTATGGGAGTCCCCTAAACCCTAAACCCTATAGAGATACCTGAAAGATCCCTTAAAGGAACCTCAAGATCCCTTATTGGAGTCCCTGAGTATTGGAGCCCTTGGAACCGCGAGACAGTCTCTTTCCAGCAAAACTTCGGTATCAGTTCTCTGGGTGTCTCGCCTCAACCGAAACCATCTTGGCGTTCTTCTGGGTGGCTCTTAGGACTTTAACTTTTTGGGTTTCTATATGAACTTTCACAATGAGGCTAAAAGCTTACTTTTTAGGTGGGGTCCAGAAGTCAGCCAAGCCATGATGGCTCCGAAGCCCAGCTATAAACTCAAAATCCCTTGCTAGCTGACTGGTTCAGGCATAACCCTGGACCCTGCACCCGAAACCCTATACCCTAAACAGATGACCTAAGCCAGGGGAACACCCAAAAAGCTCCACGATTCCAGATTCCCGATCCCCCGGCATAGCCCGAAGACTTCAGAATCCCAAGGTGAAGCCAAGGAGGTTTTGGGTTTGGTGTTTTGGAGTTTCAGGGTGTCGGGTTTGGGTCTTTCGAGGGCTCTCTGGTTGGTTTAATGTCGTGGTCTAGGGAGGGACCCCTTTAGGGCCTTCTGGTTGGTTTAATGCTTTAGTAAGCCCTAAACCCTAAACCCTAAACCCTAAACCCTAAACCCTAAACCTTAAACCCTGAACCCTAAACCCTAAACCTTAAACCCTAAACCCTAAACCCTAAACCTTAAACCCTAAACCCTAAACCCTAAATTAATGCTTTAGTTCAGGGAGGGAGGGACCTTCACCCATAGCCCTGGCTTCGCCCAGACCTTCAGAAGCGATGGCAAGTGCACCTAGATCGCTTCGAGGAGGCGGAGCTGGGGTTTAGGGTTTAGGGGTTCCTTGAAAGGGTACCATAAGGGGTTCCTTTAAGGGATCTATAGGGGTTAAGGGCTTATGGGTTCATGGTTTAGGGTTCGGTGTTTGGGGGTTAGGGCTAGGGTTTAGAGTGGAGTTGGGGACGTCAGATTGCGCTGGGCTACTTCTGCAGTCCGGTCGGCCGGCCTGTGGACCAAAATCGGTTCCAGATAGGGGTAGGGGTTTGGCGAAATAGCAGTGCCCTTATAGTCCGTGTAAAATAATAGTAAGTATAACATACCCCCAAACACTCGTCCGGCCCTATATTGCTTTGGAATCTGGTGTTAGGGTTGGAATTAAACAGAATGCCGCTTGCGCAGGCGATTCTGTCAGGTTTGCCGTTCATGCGGTAGTACATCTTCGAAGTTGAGAGGGCTCTTCGTCTAAGTTTCCGGATTGGTATCCCCTCGTTGCCACCATCGGCCCTGCGCCCACAACCCCGAACCCAGACATGAGCAGCCCTAAACTCCATGCCCTAAGCCCGGAACCGAAAACCCCAAACTCGAAAGCCTAAACCCCTAGAACCCTGGACCCTTAGCCCTGAGCCCAATCCGCTGAACCGTAAACTCCCCGCCCGACTGCTTGGCAGGCATCTGTGGGGTCTGAGCTGAGCGACAGCATGGACACATCGCAGGTGCTTCGTCCTTTAATAGTTAGGACAGGATCTCGCGACATATTGTAATGCTAATAAGGGGGGCTATAAGAGGATATCGTGAATTGGAGGTCATGCCAAGGTGCTTGGCTGAAGCAAGTTTAGCTGCAAGGATGGTAGTTTATAGGAGAGGTCAGACGAATTCGCAATGTTATCCCGTTCTTATTCCTCCGATACAGTCAGTATACTCTACCCCAAACTCCCATTCCTAGAATTAAGGCTACTATACTACGGCCCTAAGCTCTAAACCTTCAGCCCTAAGAATGAAGGCTATACTACGGCCCTAAACCCGAACCCTAGACCCTAAACCCTTAAACCCTAAACCCCTATAGAGCCCTTAAAGGAACCCTTATAGTATCCTTTTACAGGAACCCCTAAACCCTAACAGCTGCGGGAGCCTTTCGCCAGGCCTCCGTTTGGACCTCCAGCTCTGCGAGGACTTCCGGCTCTGCGAGGACGTCGAGTTCTGTGCCGAGCCTGAAGGAAAAGGCCCAGCGGGAACCCTACTTAGAGCATCATGGGACTTAGTAAGTAGGGATAGAAGTAAAGTAACTAGAGGCATAATTGCTTATAGCCCCAATTAAGGTACTTATAGACCTATTTACTAAGTCCCATGATCCTCCAAGTAGTGGGTTTAGCTTGGGGGTTTTAGGGCTTAGGGGATTCGGGTTTAGGGCCCTAAGCCCTAAACCTTATGCCCCAAAGACTGAAACCCTAAGCCATGAACCGGAAACTCTAAACGATCAACCCGAAAGCAACCCGAAGCCCGCAGCACTAAGCCTTAGACCTCAGAACCTTTGCCTTGAACTATGGAGCTGCGAGATTGACGGTTTCAGTCCGAACTTCGCAGATCCCTGGAAGTGTGGGGATGCGAATTAGAGACGTCATCAGATGCGAGTTGTTTCGAGGGAAAGCCTTGGTAGGTTACTTACCGAATTCATGGCCTCAACTCTGAATCCTAAACCATGCTTCCATCAAAGTCATGACGCACGTCGGCATCACAGTTGGTACCATGATGACAGTGGTGATGCTGGTGCAATCGCGACCCCTGCCATTGCTGTGGTTTGACCGCGCAGATTGAGATTAGGACTGTAATTGTCATTGCCAGAAACATCGCCGGTTCTTGTGCTTCTTCCTATTGCGAAGACAACACCAGCTGGAGGGAGAGATCATGATGAGTTAGGAGATGACGAGGAGGACGAGGAATCGGAATTTGTACATGAGGATGAGTAGGATCATGGTAAGGCTTCCTTCACGCCCATTGCAAGCAAAGCGCTCTAGAATCCTAGGGGCTAAACCCTAAACCTTAAAACCCTAACCCGAAGCCCCAGCCCGGAGCCCAAGGGTGAAAGCACGTTTCAGGCTCTCCGCGGCAGGGTGGTGATCAAAGAGCTCCACCGCTTCCTTTGCCGCCACATGCGCAGGACATTTGGGAGTTTCCGAAAATAGGGGTACCGTATGTACGGGTCCTTGTAATAAGGATAATACTATTTGGGATACTACATTGGGGTCCCCTATTCTCGGAAACTCCCATTTTGCGGAGCTCATCTACGCTCAGCTTCAGATCTAGAGCTGCCGACAACCTCAACCCTAAACTAAAGAACCTCAAAACCCCAGACCCCAAACCCCAAGCCCTAAGCCCAAAGCTCAAATCCCAAACTCTAGACCCTGAAGCTTACAACCCCCGCCCCTGATCCCAAGGGTCTGCAGGCCACTGCTGCCAAGCCCAAGCCCAAGCCCCAGCTCAGACCCAACGATGCAAAAGGGGTTCCTTTTGCGGTTCCTTTCAGGGTTCCTTTAAGGGTTCCTTGAAGGGTCACTTGAGGGGTTCTTTTTAAGGGTTCGGGTTAAGGGTTCCTGTTGGGGTTCCTTTAGAGGGTGCTATCCCACGGGGTGACGGCGCCTACGGCCATAGGGGACCTAGATTATGGGCTGCCCACGTTAGGGTTCAGGGCTTGTCCTAACCCAGAAACCCTGCCGACAGGAGTGCCGCAAAGGAGCAGGCGCACGAGATGCAGGAGCAGTGGAACGCGGGATCCCCGGTCCCAGTTTCCCACAAAGCTGATTCTTATCCCCGATCCCTAGACCTCCACAGTATCTTCAACCTTGAGCCTCAGGTGATGTCGGACTTCGTCCGCTACGTCATGCTAGTGGTCCGAAGCAGAGCTTCCTCCAGACAGTCGGGTTCAGTTTGGGGGTTTGGGGGTTTAGGGTTCTGTTGAGGGGTGGTGCAGTAAGTGGTGTCTAGGAAAGCTGGGAGGGAAGGGCCTCGAAATCGGCGACGTCTTTGCGGCGGTTCTGGAGAATCAGACTTCGGTGAGTGTAGGACCTAGACCTTAAAACCCGCACATAAAGCCTGAAACCCGAGAGTTTAGAGATTAGGATATCCCCCGGGCCCGATGCGAAGATCTTTGCTGGTAAGGTTCGGGCATTTAGCGCTACTCACTATCGCGTGCCAGCTCATCTTAGCAACCGTTATCCCTTTCACCGTGGAGTGTACCCATGCCCCACGTGCACCCAATCATGAGACCATTGCCCAAGACCGCAGTAACAGGACATTCTTCTGTGCACGCATTTCGATACGTGTGCAAGTCCAGACCCAGTTCTGCAGCAGTGCAAGCACAGTGCCCCTGCTTGTCGACTCCAACGTTGTGATCTTCTTCGACAACGATGCTCCCAAGGACTCCAGAATTGGGATGGTTTTTCGAAAGGTTCTCTTGCTTTGAGAAGCAACGGGTTAGCGGACACTCGCATCGGAGAGTCCGTTCCCAAAAGCCGCAGCATGAACATGGCGGACAGAGTCTGATCACGCAGTTACGGCTCAAGTTGCACAGTGCCCCGGGGCAAAAGACTCATGGGCAATGGGCCATGCACGCAGTTTGATCAAAGCATCTTCGATGTGATTCCGTACGAGGCCATATGGTTCGACTTGGACACGCCCGAGACTCTCTTTGACTACTTGATATACGCAGACATCAGACTCGTCCGGTTTGAGTACCTCAAGCAGCTTGTTGCGGATCGGAGGCTTTGGCCTCGAAGGCAGGAGGCTGAGTATGAGAAGATCGCACAGGCTTCCTGGCCTGGGACCAGAGATGCTCTTGTGACAATGGAGGAAGTGCAGCAACAGAGGCAACTCTCAAGAGCACCGAATCTGCATAGAGAAATGATGAAAGGCTTTGAGGAGGGCTGCCGCGAGGAGGGAGAGACAGACAATTTCATGGTGGACATGTTTGGCATGTCTTCCCGTGATCCAGCCCTTGCTCGCACGATCAGTGCCTCCTGGGAGGACGCTCTCGATTTTTTTGGGGGCGTGCAATCCCTTCGGAACCGAATTTCTCGGCAAGGGCTTCATCAGGTTCATCTCTTAACAGTTTCACATTGCTGGGAATCGAAGCAACATCCGGATCCATGGGGCAGCCAGCTGCAGAGGCTAGTCAATATTATTTCAGCATATCAGGAAGCCGTCTTCGAAGCGACAGGTGTAGAAAATGCCGAATGCTGGATTGTCATCGACTTTATATGTCTCCCACAATACCCACGCAACACTGTGCAGCAGCAGTGCTTTCAGCGTGCCATGAAGTCAATGCACATGTTGTATGCGCACAATGCCGTGGACCGCGTAGTTCGCTTGGAGGAGCCCACTTCTGACTTCGAAAAGCTGTTTGCGCCGAACTTCATCGACATTTACCATGAGGACGTTCATGTACAGCATCATCGCAAACCGACGAAGCCGACTCACCCTGTGCCAGAGAAGGCTGGGCGGTTTGGACCGCAGCCCTTCAGTGCGCTAGAATTGAACAGCACGCCTTACACCGCCAGAGGCTGGTGCATTGCTGAAACGCAGTGGATGAGTGCCAGCAACTGCATTCACGGCTATGCGCCGATGCTTCCAGCTACTTTTCAAAAACGTGTGCAAGAGACGGCTTTGAAGTTTACACACAGATCGGATGCGACGGCAGTGATGCAACTTCAAGAAATGGTATTTTGGAAAAAAGCAAAAGCTTGTAGAGAGCTGGACGTAGCATGGTTGCCCCACGACGAGTTCCTGCTTCTCACCGAGGCCCTGCCGCACTATGTGAACCTGAGAGAATTGAGGATCTTTCACTGCGACATTCGGTCAGAGCTCGCTGTGGCGCTGGTCAATGTGGTCAGAAGCCTCGGGGACTTGTCTTTGGTCCGCATGATTCAGTGCAGCATCAGTGACGAGGCCGCTGCAGTTTTCGCAGATTTCTTTTCGAATGTTGAGCAGCACAGGTCGAGCGTAGAAGGATGTTGTTGCGGCGTCCCTCACACGGCCATGCGACTGTCACTGCTTAATTGTCAGGTTGGAGGTGTAGGCCGGGCAGTTCTCGCAGAGGCAGGGCTTCAAATGCTAACGACGCCAGCATCCTCCTTCTGGCTTTGGCTTCGTTTTAGACATTGGGCATTGTTGACTTGCGCCTGTGACAGACGAAGCCTCAAGGCTCAAGAGGGTTTGGAATTTTTTAAAACAACTTTTAACAAAAATTTAAACAAAATTGAAGATATCCAGTCTGCTTTGATTAGAGATGTAGTTGTGCGTTGAACAGGCGCAACAGTCGCCTTTGCATCACCTGGCTTCGTGGTCGTCCTTTTTCACTGGAAAACTCGCTATGTGTGCATTTTCTGCATGAGACCGCTCAAAATATGCAGAGATCTCAAACGATGTCACTGGTCTGACGAGCATCTGTAACGTCTTGCGCGGGTGTTTCCCATGTACAGCATAGCTAAGCATTAGGCACAACGAAGTCTCGCTCCAATCAGGTAGCTTTCGCATGGCACCAGTTCACGGGGGCTGACAATTGGCACGGCGCATGTGGATCCAGCGCTGCACAGTTCCTAGAGGTCGTGGCAGGATAAACACATGAAGACAGCAGTGACAACAAAAGGAACCATAATGACTTTCAATCATCACCTGGTCTCCGCCATTGCGCTCTCCGCCATCATCACCATCGTCGTCTTCGTGGTCACGACCGTGATCAATCCACCGCTACCGCCATCGCCATCGCCGTCACCCTCACTGTCGTTATCGTCATCATCATGACCGTCATCAACACTTGCAGGTATGATGTTGGTGAGCTCCTTTGCCTGCTTTTGTGTATAGAGGCTTCGGATTGGATGTCTTGCGGCCGTGTGCTCGACATGACCCAGCCATACGTGAAGAAGACGTAGAGCCACCATTCGGTGGCATAGTCTCCGCACCCAGCCATACCCAGCCGCCGGAGCTCAGCTGCGAGCTGACCACCTGCTCATCCTGCATACGAAGACTGGCATGTTGGGTACCCTAATATTCGTAAGACTTAGCACGTCGGTCCAAAATGGCGTAGCTGTCATTGCATCATGGTTTCACATTATCTGGATGGTTAGGGGATTTCGTAAGTAAGGTTACAAGTACACTATTGGGGATTACAAGTAATTGTAGCATTCACCTTCCGTAGAAGCCTGGTTGCTAAGTGCTACGATCCTTTAAGTAGGCTCGGGGAGAACTGTTCTGCGCATTGGTTTGGGCCCGACAAGAGATCCAGAACCTTCGCCGGAGCCTTAGAACACCCCATCTAGTCCAGCCAGAAGCCCCTAAAACTTAGACCCACAACCTTAAACCCTCAACAAATGTAACCCTGACCCTAAGTCCTAACTCCCGAAACCCCTGAAATCTTCAAACCTTAAACCCGTAATTAAGCCTAAACCCTAAACTCCTTGAGTCCTCAGACCTGCATTCCCAGATTGGCTGGTTCTGGTTCTCGGCGGAGGCCCGGCTCGAACCTGGGATTCTCGGACGGTTCCCTCAAGGGTTACTCTAAGGGTTCCTTTAGGGTTTCCTTCAAGGGAATTTAGGGGTTCCTTTAAACCCTGAAGGGAACCTTATGGACCCCTTGAAGAAGCCCTTATGGGAACCCTTAGAGGAAGCATTGAGGGATCCTTTGAGGGTTCCTGCTGAGGGTTCCTTTGAGGGTTCTATGGATTTTGCTGTTTCTTTTCGCATGGGTTTCGGGATTGTTCAGAAAGAAGGGAGTGAGAGGGTCCTGTCTATCAGGATGCCTACGGTTTAGCGTTTAACGTTTGAAGTTCAGGGTTTAGGGTTTTACAAGTTTGGGGGTCAGGGTTTAGGCTGTAGGCCCCCTGATATGACGTTGCATAAGCGGCATCCTTTCTGTAAGGACGCCCAAATACGGATCCCGCCAAGGACCCTATTATAGAAGCCATTGCAAATCCCATGAAAAGCCTTCAAACACCCCGCAGAACCCTCAACCCTAATCCCTAAACCCCAAACCCTAAAGCTCTAAACCTTAAACCCAGAACCTACAAAACCCTGAAATCGCCAACCCTAAACCTTAAAGCCCTACACCCCAAACCCTCTTTGTTGACAGCTTTCGGCTCACTGGGCAGACTCGTGACTCGTTCAGAGATGCTTTGGGGTTTGGGGCGTTTAGGATGAAGGTATAGATAAGGTTTTAGGATGTTTTAGGTATTTAGGGCATTAGTGTTGAGGGCTTGGGCTCACGGGTGGCTTGGAGGCTGCAGTGTCAACAGCAACGATTTAGGGTTTAGGGAGTCTAGGGTATCAACAGTCAGAGTATGACTTTCACAAAGCCACGAAAGAAGAACATCAATCTCTGAAATGACAACGCGCATGCCCAACACAATGACAACACCAGCCGCCATCAGACGAGCTGGCTGTAGCAACACCTCCTATTGTAAAAGACCCTAACCTCTAAACCCTAAATGCCCTGAGGCTTAAACTTTGGATGCTACTTGCAGCCATGAACCCCCAATCCCAAAACTCTCCTGAAAAAACCCTAAACCTAGACCTTAGGCACCGAAAGGCTTAAAGCCACAAGCCCTCAACCTTAAACTGAAACCCTAAACCCCATGCCGTTCAGTTCAAGACTGGCAGCTTCGGAAGGTCATGGACATGGCTTGTGCGGACGATGCCACGGCCGCTGTGCTGAAGACTTCAAAACTAGGTTCGGGGCCGGTGGAGGATATATGGTCGAATGTAAGATTGTATATAACAGAGTATAATGTCTAAGATGACATATAATACGCTATACCATAGGGTACTATAGGATACTAGACTGTGCTATACCATATGCTGTAATATGAGTACAGCATGATATAGTATAAGATAGGACATCATGATACAGTATTTTGTAATCTGATATACTTTTATCGAACGTAACATGTAATATTCCATAATAATGTAATACTGTATCAAAGATATTTGTTTTAAAGTATGCAAACATAATAGGCCGGATGCCAGAGCTTCTGGAGCAACAGGTTTCGGGGTTTGCGGCTTGATTTCTTTGCCGAGCGCATGCACCATCGAAGACATAAACGGGTCTAGTGCTCAAGATCCCCTAAAGCCTAAATTCTAAACTCCTAGACTCCTAAACCCTAAAGCCTAAACCCTAAATCCTAAACTCCTAAAGCCTAAATCCTAAACTCCTAAAGCCTAAACCCTTAAACCCTAAACCCTAAACCCTAGACATGGAAAGCGCGGAATATTGAGCTGAAGACCGCAGCCCTGACCAAAACATCCGGAATCTCCTCGCCCTGGGGACTGAACTCGAACTTCGGAACCTAATGGGTTTAGGCGTTTAGGGTTGAGGGGGTTTAGGGTTTCGGGTTTAGGAGTTTAGGGTTGAGGGTTTAACTTCTGAACTAAAGTTTAGAGCCGAACCCAAAACCCGAGCCGGGAGACCGAACTCTACTATGTCCCAGACCTTTCGGAATCGAACTCAGGCTGTCCAAGTCCTGAGTTCTCCGAACCATGTCTGGCCCGGCTCGATCAGGGTTATCACGAAACGAGGGTTGTATGCTTCCTATGGTTTCTTTTGGGAGTTGGGCTCAGCGTTTAGGGCTCACAAAAACGGCTTACCCTGGGCCAATGTTCGACAGCCGAGGGTGCATTTCACATCCTCAAGGCAGGGCTGGGCTGTGTTCTTGCTGAGGGGCCTAATTCAAGCTACCGTATTAAGGAAACCCGATTATTTACTACAGATCCCTATTATGGTAACTTAAACCTTAAACCCTAAACCCTTTCAGTGTAGGCCGACTTTGGCTGGACAATTTCGCAGAAAGGGTCCATTGCACTTAAAAAAGAAACCCTGAAAGGAGGGCTGGGTCGGTGTTTCGTCCAGAGCCAGGGCAGCCTCTGAACTTCGGTGATTTTAGCGATCGTTTGGTGGTTTCGGTGTAGGGTTTCGGGGGGTTTTGGGGTAATTGGGGTTCACAGGTTTCGGGGTTTAGGGTTTAGGATTTAGGGTTCATGTCTAGGGTTCAGTGTCCCAGTTTTTTGCGTTTGTTTTCGAAACTCTTGTCCCTTGTTGTTTTGCCAGCGTTGGGGTCGGCGATTGGTCGCTAATCTTCCTCGGCAAAGGCCCCGGGTCCTTTGGACTGGAACCGTAAGGAATAGTATTGGTATTTCTTTGGACCCCTATACTCGGTTGAAGCAAGCTTGACGAGTTCAGGGTTTATGTAGAAAGGCATCCTGTGCAGTTTGTTTGCCAAGCACCAGTAAAATCACTGGTCTGGCACTAACCACCATTCCAGTGTGTGACACTTTACCAGCCTAAACCCTGAACCTTGCTCCCCAAACCCCCAAAGCGGAACGCTTACCCCTAAATCCTAAACCTTGAACCCTGAACCCAAAACCTAAGCCCAAAGTCCTAAATCCTAAACCTTGAACTAATGGCCCAGTACCCCTGAATTAAGGAATATAGCTTAAATCACAATATGAAGCCCCTTATAATTTAAGGTATATTGCTTAATTAAGGGGTATTGGGCTCTCTGGGAAACCCGAGACTGACCTTCATGTCCTGTCAGGCGCTGTCCTCTCCTGCCATCTTTCTGTTCATCCTGGAATCGGTGCGCCCAGTGGGGGGGGGGGTTTAGGATTCAGGATTTAGAGTTCAGGGTTTAGTTTGTTGGGATCAGGGTTTAGTTTAGGGTTCAGGGTTCAGGGCTTAGGGCTCAGGCTTTAGAGTTTAGAGTTTGGGATAGAACCCTCGACCCGAAACCCTCCGAAGCCCCGAGCCAAAGGGTTTTTGATGCTCGTAAGGCTGTTCCCTTCTAGTCTCTATACATAACTATGCTACGATAGACCCCAAAGCCCACGTTGAAATTACCAACGCCCCCCATATGAGATGATGGCTCTTAAGATACGGCTGAGGAGAGAGATGCTTCTTAGGTTGAGGGTTTGACCAGGTGGCATCTCCCTTGTTCGGAGTTCTTATGCCCTTAAAACTACCTCCCGGAGCCCTAGCGCCTCAACCAGCAAAGTAATGTTCTGAGTGAAACCAAGTCCAGAAAGTCGAAAACATTGAAGCCCAGTTGCCCCAAGGTCCGCCCTACGCCTCACACCAAACGCACTAATCCCTGACCCTGAGGCCAATAGCCCGGTTAAGCCAAAAACCGTATGAGCTTATACGGCCCCTGAGCGAAAAAGACGCTCTTGCCCGAAACCAGACACCTATTTTCGACCTGCAGCCTAACTCGCAGTGAACCTAAAACGACCCTAAACCCCAAACCTCTAAACCTTAAATC